CGGCGAGGGAGACTGTAAGGCATGCAAATTTATGCCGGCCACGACGCGCAGAGTTTGCAAGTAATTAACGAGAGAAGCAGACTCAAAATTCCTCTGTCGGACAAACGAGAGAGAGAGAGCAAAACAAAAACCGGCATTCCGACGGAAAACAGAGAGAGAGAGAGACGAGCAGCTTCGAGTTTGTCTTTCTGCGCCGTGTGTAATTAAAAAGTTATGGAATCACAGGCAATTTTAAATCTACGCACAAGCGCTCTCGTCCGGAAAACATTTGCGGATTTAAAGTTTGAGCAGACGAAATATTTAAGTAGTTGTATATATTTGCATGTTAATTGCCAATTTGAGACAAGACAAATTAATTGTCATAGTTTATTATTAAATTAAGATTTCCAATTTCAAACTGCAAAGAGAAACGATGAAGAAATTTTAATTAGAAGTAAATGCAAAAGAATTTAAAACCAATGCACGTTAAGGAAATTAAATTAAACCAGAAAAATTAAACAGAACTTGGACACATCCATTTGTAAATAATGAGAATTTTTTAATTGCAGGAAAAAATTAATCACAATGAGAAGATTTAAATTTAAAAAATGGACCATCTGTGAAAGAAAATTGAGGATTTAATTTCTTTCTAAGATTTCCAGCTTTTTTATTACAATTTTTAAGTTAATATTCCTGTCACGTTTGAAATATGTCAAAAATTTAAAGAAGCTTAAATAGAAAAGAGGGAACAATTTTCCAGAAGTACATAAAAATTATCTAAATAGCTGACAAATGAAGTTTTAAATTCAATTTGAATTAAGAATCTCAATCAATCGGAAACTTCATCAAACAATTATTGTAAAAACGGATTTCCTTGTTCATAAATTCATTTCATTACAATTTTTTTTTATTAATAGTTTTTCTACCCAAAAAATGTGACAAAGTTCATAAATTATTATTCTTAAATAAACTCTAAAGCAGAAAGAATCCCATTTAAAACATCTGAAATTGTACTTTATTTCATTCCCCTGATATTTTTATCCGCAAAATCTTTTTTTTTTCAAAAGGAAATAAATTTGTCCTAAAAATCTAAATCCCACTCTGCATCTCTCTCGTCTGCATACAAAAGCCATTAAAAGCTGAGCTTTTTATGTTTTCGCCGGTCGTCGTGTAATAAAATAATCCCTTCTGCCGAGCCGATCACGCAAAATAAAATAAGCCAACTAGCAATACACCGTCGCACAAAGCACCATGTTGAGCGCGTTGTCGCGGTTTCGGCGGCTGATGCCAAAACAGAGTTAAATAAAACACATCAGCCCAACAGCGGCGGCCACCCGGCTTTTTGGGTCTTTATTTTCCCCCATTATTTAATATTTACCCTCGCAACTCCCCTGAGGAGAATATAAAAGCCGACGAACGCGATAAAATTCATGTTTTGCCAACGACTTTATCAGGACGCGCGATTTAAGTTGATTCGAGAAAGGAAAAGATCTTATTGAGTGGAGAAGAAAGAGGTCCTCTGAAAGACTGGGAAGGAAATTTCTGCACTCAGATCACCCTTGGCTCTGGGAAAACTGTCTGTTTAGACCAAGGTGAAAAAATGGTAAAGTCGCTATTCAAATTTTTCAGATGCATCTTTTTCGATTCACATATCAAGGGTCTAAAAACACTCATGACTCTCTGTAAAACAATCAAAATTTGAATTTTTCACTTGTTTTAGCCACATTTCGTGATTTGTGCGTCGTCTTGGCTCTGGGAAAACTGTCTAGAGTCAGTGTTTAGACCAAAAGTGAAGCATTATCGTGGAATAAGTTGAGATTTCATTAATTTTCGTTGAAAAGTAAAAAATAAAATCCCTATCAAAGTCCATATCAAATTTATCGCTTTAAATACCAAAAAAAGTAAAAAAAATTTTAAAATAAAATTTTATCTAAAAAAACAATGCCTATGCAAATTATCTGCAAATTTTCTCACTCTACGTATCTGGAATAAAAGCAAAAATTTTCAGGAATACAAATTATATATATGAAAAATTCTTAATATTCGTGATTTTCATCATTATTTCAATTTCTATGGAGCTAGTATTTATTTATGTATTTCATTTTTTATTAAAAAATAAATGGAAAAAGTTTTTTGCAAATCATAAAACGCCCCTGAGCGAGTTACAAAAGCCACTCTCACTATCAAAACAGACCAAAGTTCTCATTTTGTCATTTTGAAACTTTTTCAACTCACTCTCGGAAGCGCCGCATTTTCACGTGAAGATGAGACACGCACTTTCTCATTGTAGAAGCTCCGAAACTTAATTTCCGTTTTGCGGACTCGGGAGCATCACGAGTCGGCGAGCAATCTCGCCCGGCCAAGCGGCCGCCGGCCCGGGCGCAAATTCTCGGATTCCGGGATGGACGAAGCTGGAACGTGACTCGCCATAAAAGGGGTCAGACACCCCCGATGAGAAATAAATTCGCACAAGATAAAGAAGCAGAGAAGCAACGCCCAATGCTAATGGCACCCCCACAGAGCTAAACAAAATAAAATATTTCTCTCGTATCTTATTTCCTGGGGCGTGAGGATGTGCAGCTATTAGCCCAGCTGCATGTAATGGCGGAGTAAGTAACCCTCCGTGTACATGTTCGCTTATTGAAAATAATATTATTATATAAATGCAGGCTGCACTTTCTTTATCTGCAGATAGAAAGAAGCTGCAGAAGCTGGAAATGGATCCTTTCTTGCAGAAAACGTGCCTCGCTCTTGTAAATGTGCATTTTTATATTATTGCAGCCGTATAACGGAAAGACGGCGAGCTGCATATCACTTTTCTAAAGATAATTGAATTCGAGCTTGCTTTTGTTATACCCAGCAAGATGTAGTGAAGCGAAAAACGAGGGATCGAAATATTATACACACAAAAGTATAGGTGAAAAACGTGAAAAAAACAGGTGAAAAAGTTAATCAATTAGAAAGAACAAACTAAAGATGCAAACTATTTATTATTTTATAAATAATAATTAAAAAAAAAAACATGAAAATTTTATTTAATTAATAATAAAAGGCCTTTTTAAATCGTTTTTATTTATTTATTGAATTAATTAAAATTAATTTTTTTTCATTAAACACAAAACTAGCAAATAACGCTAAATTATAGAGCAATTTTTTACTTTAAACAATTTTTATTAAGAGAAAAAGCCTTTTCTACTTGGTTAATTTTATTTTTAATAATTATAATGGTTTTATAAATTAACAGCAATTATTAAGTTGCAAAATTTCTGGTTTTAAATTTTTAAAGAAATTTATCAAGGGACAAAAATAATTTCCCTCTTCTATTAAAATTACATTTTAATACAAGGGAAGTTAATTTTTAAAAGTTTTGAAGTTATTTTGTTCTTTTTAACAAAAATATTCATCTGTAAACTTTAGTTCACATCTGCGTGGTAATAAATTACTTTCCTAGCACCAGCACCATATATTTTGCGGATAATGTATAAATAGCAGCAGTTTTGCGTGCGGACAAGTTTGGTTCATATTAAGATTTGTGCGTATGTTTGCCGACTGGGTTTTTTGCTTCTCAAGGAGTCTTTTATCCGTAACGAGCTTACATCTGTCACAACCTCGGCTTGTTTACGACTTCACTCAGACTTTTTACTGCTATCTCTTGCACTTAAACTTTGCTATCGGAGATCGACATGCGTCTACTTTTAACGTAAATGTAGTTGGAAAAAAAACAATCTACGTTATTTTTAATCTTAAATATTTAATGAAATACGGAAACGAATTAAACTCGAATAATAATTCATTCAAACTACTTAATTTGAAGATAAAACTTGGACTTTTTCATTTAAAGAGTTGTTTGTTGATTTAAATAAAATATAGTTTTAATTTTAATTTAGAATAGACACATACAAATCAATGAATAGAATTAAATTTAATGAATTATAAACGTAGAAGTTAATTCTTGTTGGTTGGTTTTTTCCAAATAGATTTAACAATTTTAAATTTCAAGTTTTCCCACCATTTCATTCTCTTCGCGCAGTTAAAATTAGAAAATATTCTGGAAATATTAATTAAATTTAATAAAAATAAAAAGTATCTGGAAAGATTGTATCAAATTCATAAATAAAAAATAGTAGAAATTTGTCTCTATTTGATCTTCAAATTAATGTATTTAATTTATTGCTTTGATTGATATTTTTTTTTTTAATTTGATTACAACAAAAATATGCAATTATCACAAATTGTGACTTCAAATCTCACCGGACTTATCTGCACAAATGGTGCAAAATTTTCAGCAATCTGCATTTTCGCACCGCAAATGATATAATGCCGAGCATTTCGGTCGTCATTTCCAAATCGGGAAATTTATTTGCGCGAGCAGCGGCGAAGTCGTAAAATGCGTAACGTGCTCTGAAGTAATAAAAGTCATGCAAGCCGACGCGTGTGCGTCAATTCCAGCAGCCCCAGCCTGCGCTATCCGCGAAATCCGGCTCTCGCTCATTCGGTTTTGCTATTTTTCGCGCACACACCCTGTACCATTTGGCGACGAGAGTGGTCCCATAATAATGTATAGTATCGGCGCCCAAATAGGGTGCGACGCGTGAAATAAACAAATTTTATTAACCCGTGAGAAAAAAACAGACTAAAATAGGCTATTTACAAAATTTAAAAACGGAAATAATTAGAACAAAAAAATTAAAAAGCAAGATTTAATTCATTAAAGTGAATGAATTTAATTTAATTAATATATGAATAAATTGGAAAATTTATTGATAAGTACAAAAAAACAAAAATAAAGAAAAAAATAAAAATAATTAATAAAATAATATTAATAAAAATTAGTGATTTTTTTTTACATTATTTGCTTATTTCTTATTTTACTTAAATGAGATCATATTATGGGAATTTTTTTCATGTAACATTTATTTTCAACTGTGACTTTTTATCATAAATGCCGGATGCTCGAGTGAGACTTTTTGTAGTTTCTTATTTCAGCCGACGCTGCAGCCGGTGAAACGCGACATTGGGAATGCGCGTATCCAAGGCCGCGCGAGTTCGGCGCTGGCGTCAGCTGCTTAAAAACAGCGAGCAGGAGAAACTTTCACTTGCCTCGTGAGCCGCCTCGAAAATAACCAAAACAAACACACAAGACGTCCGTTCGCAGGTAGTTGAGATTTTCAATTTGCTTTGCGAACATGGCGAGCAACGGTAACGACGTGAGTGAAGAAGTTCAAGAAGAAGTACTGGAGGATCATGAAGAAGGCGAAGACGAGGCGGACATTTCCAAAAAGCTGCTCAAAAAACTTACAAATAGCTTGTAAGTGTGCAACGATTCAATCTTTTTAGCCCACGCATGCAGAGTTCATTTTCCGTATGTTTCTAACAAGTCAATTTTTTTCACTTTGAAAAATTTGGACAAATTAAGAATATTTATTAACAATTTCAGACTAAAGCGAGCAACAATTGAGACGAAAGTGGCGGACATCGTGAGCGCCTCTCCCATTCCAGACAATGTTAATTTGTCGAATGCGACTCGCTACTACAACATGAATCACGAAAAGCGCGGAGTGGCGCTAATTTTCAATCACTACAAATTCGACGCGGACAGGATGCCGATGAGGAAAGGAACGGATGAAGACAAGGAGAGGCTGATAAAAGCGTTCAAAAAACACGCTTTCCGAGTGCATTTTGAGGACGATTTATGCATATCGGATATTAAATATGTGATCAACAGAGGTATGAAAAATATTTAAAAATCGCATTAATTTTTTTTTGGTAAAATTTTGATTTTTTTTAACTGAAATTATATTTCTTTGAGATCTAGATAAGTTTTTGACTAATTTTTTTATTCAAGGAGTAAAATATTATGGATTATAATTTATAATTTAATTGAATTTTTGTTTGTAAATCGTGAAAAAAATGAACTTTGATATTAATTTCAGCTTTCAACAAAAATGTTAACTTCTTTTATGAGGTTCAAGCATGATTTAAAAATTTCAAAACATTTAAAATCCATTATTATGAGATATAATTATTTTTGTACATAAATTTGAATCAGAAGAATTAGTTATTAATATAATAAAATTATTAAATTAAACTTTTATTGGCATTCCAGTATTATCATTATATTTAAAATGAAATTTTTACTATTCATCATAATTTTACTTTTTTAGAAATTGTCAAAGTTGACCATTCCAAGTCCGATTGTGTGGCGATTGCAATCATGACGCACGGTTCTGAAGGTGACAAAATCTACGCCAAAGACTCGGCATACTGCCTGCACGACTTGGTGTCAATGCTGACCGCGGACAAGTGCCCGACTTTGGCCGGAAAGCCGAAATTATTCTTCATTCAGGCGTGCCGAGGCGAAGGACAAGACGGAGGTCACACGATACGCACCGACTCGCCCAGGTCCGGCCAGTACACCCAGTTCAGAATACCGAATCAGGCCGACTTTTTCCTCGCCTACTCCACCATTCCAGGTGTGTAATTTTAATTATTTTTGTTTCGTATGAAAAATATTTTGGAAACAGGGTACGTCGCCATGCGAAACCAGCTCTACGGGTCTTGGTTTGTGAAAGAGCTTTGCAAAAAGTTGATGGAGGACGACAGCCACGCGAGGAGCATTTTCCAGTTGATGACCGAGGTTGTGGGCAAAGTTGCGATCGACTACGAAACCAAGGGTGACCATTACAAGCAGATTCCAACGTTCACATCCAGACTTACAAAGGACCTGGTGTTTGGCAAAAAGGCAAAGTCCCAGTGACAAATCGTTTTAATTTCTAATAATAAATGTTTTGAAAGAAAGAAAGAAGGTTTATTGCATTTCAATTGAAATTGAAAATTATCATCAAAGAAATAAGAAAATAAAAATGGAACAAGCTCTGCGCAATTTTTTTATATAAAAAACATGGCCGCCAGTGGCCCCGAGCTCTAATTGGTGAATTTTAGACTACGCCAGCGCCAAAGGTGAACGGAGAACAAAAAAATGCTCATGAAAATTCTTTGTGATAATAAATACAAGGTTCGTTGATTTGAACATCTGATTTATAGAAATGGTAAATTCTGGATTAATTTTTATAAGGACAAATAATTTCTCTCGAGGTTTCAACTCATTTGGCAGAAATACAGCTGAACCTTGGTTGAAACCCTGCTTTGATATTTAGAGGAGCGATTTTTTTTCATGATTTTTATAAAAATTTTCTTCTTATAGAATTATAAATTATCAATAAAATCATCGATCAGTATCTTGAAAATAATTTCCCATACTTTTTTTATAGGATCAAAGTAAAAATTGTGTGCGCGTGTCACTTTCATTTGTGATTTTGTCGCGTCTGGCCCGAAATTAAAAGCGCTCCATTTGCCAAACAAGTTGCGCGCATAAAATAAAACACGCTCTTTTGCAACTGCACGGAGAGAGATACATATTTCTATCAAGAGCGCGCGATAAATGGTGTAGAACGGCGCAAAGCAGGGTGCTGCGCTGAGCAAACACACAGAGCAACTTTTTCAAAAGCCCTCTGGCCGTTCGCTCAGAAACAATGGCGCGTTCTCTCAGGCCCGCGAGAGCGAGAGAATTAATTTTCATCATTTTTCGCGGTTCGCAATGTAAGTTGGGCGAAATTTACAGCTCAGTTATATAAATGCGTGAATGTATGTTGGCGGCGTCGCGCCTCTGCCCACGGGCCTTTCTTCTCTATCGCTGCTTTAAACTTGGGCCAAAACGTAATTATTTGATTCTTCCGGCCCGCTGCTTCGCACCCGCGCTCACGGCAAATTGTGTAATCAATCGCTTTGTGCACTTTTCTCGTCATTGAACTTGTGCCGCGCCGCGAGTTGTTTGCGAGTTTGCGTTTTCTTTTCCGCTAAACTTTCGCCACAGAAAAAAAAGCTGAGAAAATCAACTGTTCTGATTTTCTTCTATCCGAATCATTGTTTTAAGATAAAAATACGAACCTGAAATGAAAGCAAGACTCAAAAAAAATTCATCTTGTAATTCCCACTGCAGGGGATCAGGTTTTTTTTATCTCGGAAGTTTTAGCAAAATTATTGCAAGTGGTGGTGCCTTTTAGTCCAAAAATTCCAAATTTACAAATATTTTTTTTTTAATTATTGAATTTAATGTGATTAAACAATTTGGACAAATAAACAACAACAATAAAAAAAAAATAGCAATGACAATAATACATTGAAAAAAATGAGCTGAAACCCAATTTCAATATCTAAATAATCCAGATTCCATCTTGCATGAGATGGCTTCTTTAAAAATCTGTTTTTTACCTCTTTGGAATTGGTAAAAGTGGGGCCAAATTTAAAATTCAAAAGATTCTTGTCATTCTCACTTCATATTTTCCTGAATTTATTAACTTTTTTGATGTATTTTGAAGTTTACATTAAAGATTCATAATTCCAAATTAATTTTTTTATTAATTTAATATTTTTATTCTTAAAGTCATGGTGTTTTTTTTAATTTAAATTTCAATCTTGATTTTTTTGCACAAATAGAAACGCTATAAAGCACAATATTAATTTAAAATTGATGACACTAATTTTTTCGTTTTACGGAATTGAAAACTTAAATACCAAAAATTAAACCCAAAATTATGACTAAAATATCAATATTTGGAAAAATTCCAAATTTCATTCAGTTTAATTAATTTTCAGCTAAATTTGACTTCAATTTCATTCCTAAAAGCAAGATTTTCATGCAATTCCGTTTTTTTTTTTCACTTCATTAAAGATTCTTTGGTCTTTTTTCTTTTGGAGAGTAAATCACTTTTGGCTGGTTCCTCTAAAACGAATAAAAGTTCCAACTTTTTTTCTATATAAAAAAAGAGTTGCGCTTCTTCTTTCCGGTCCCTCCTTTTTTTTCTCTCTCTCTTCTCCATATCATTAAATTCGAATCAAGTCACAGTAAATTCGATTCGCCCTCTGTGCACAGCTAAGCTTGAAATTAGGCCCAACTTTTCTTTGCCGGCACCGTTTGACCCGGGGCGAGTCAAATGACTCTTCCCTCTCTGTATATGCAGTTGCCTCTCTCGTCAGATTACGAGAGTGTGAGACACTCTTTCTCTCCACAACCCTTCTTCATCGTCCCTCACTCTCTGCTTTCGCGCCCTCCACTCTCCGCAACCCTCGCTGCCCCGGGCAGCCCCGAACATAAAAAAACGCACCCTTGCTTGGCTCCGATACAAGCGGAAAAAAATAAATTCTCCGCCAAGAGACATGCTAATGGTCTCGGACGGATTCTTTCCTCTTTCGGGCGCAAACATTCAAATGAGACGTTTATGGCCTTGGTAATGAGATTCGGATTAATCTACGACCGCCAGCGTCGTTCGGGGGTCGGCGCAAGATTGAGTGTCTGCTAATGCGTTGTTTGCTTTCGGCAAAGCGAAATCAACACCGATTCGCAGATTTATTTCTCCTGGGAAAGATCGAAACCTGTAATGGAGAAAGAAGATTGATTGCGATGTAGAACTTCTCAATGATGAGCAAATCAATGTCAATAAATTTGAAATCATTTGTAAATTCTATGATTAAATAAAAATTTTAAATTATGTAGATTTTCAAAGAAAATAATTGAAATTGCATAAAGTGAATAATAAATCAAATATTTCAGAGATTATTATTTTTGTACTGAAAAAGTTGGAATAAAGAAATAATATTTTCCCACTTTTTTTAACGAAACAGTCGAAATGAATTATTCAATTTTTTAAGTAAAACATTCTTTGGATGAAATTTGTCAATTTTTGTCCCGCATAAGTGTCAAAAAATGATTTATCGCTATCCAAATTCCCTGAGCAGATCAATCCGTATACGTATCTATAGCTTATCCTCTTCCAGGCTTCACTCTTTTTCCCCCCAGGAATACCACGCATTTCAATTTACCGTCGCCCGGCTCGAAAAGACGACGTGTGTGTGTGCGAATAAAAATAAATTTGAATGCACTTAGCCATTCAAGCTGCTACGGCAAGCTGTCTATTTTCCGCGAACACAAAGGAAGAAAAGATTTCTTCAGCAGAGTTGCGTGTGTATTTCGGAATTGCTCTCTCGCGTATCAAAAGGAGAAAAGCACGAGTTCTTTTCTCCCCGACAGCAGAGGCACAAGAAGCAACATCGCAAAAGTCGCTCTCTCTGTGTCAAATGGAGCGAATATATATTCCGATCTCTCTGAATGAGGACCCAAAGTGCGACCGCAAAAAGGGGGCTTCGGCAAACAAGCGAGGATGGTTATTATTGTGTGTGGCATGTGTAGAAGCACCATCAAAATTTTTACCACAAACACATTCCGGGTATTCTTTGAAATATGACTTTATTGTCGAGACTTCCACTTTTAAAATCGGATAAAAAGGTAAATATTCTCGATGAAAAAAATTATTCAAAAATAATTCATTTGTGCAGGAGAAATTCAAATCCTTTATGAAAAGTTTGAACAAAAACCCCTTCTTAAATTTGATCTTTTTGTAAATTGTGTAATTCCTATTAATTATAAAATTTGTAATCATTCCCTTTTGAATATCAATTTTAATTCAAACACTGTCAACAAGTAATTATTATTATAATTTCAGCCTAAAAATTGACTTTTTCAACAATTTACCTCTCAATTTTCAAATCTTATTTCGTCAAAACGTTTTTTATTAAAAATATTGATCAAGTAATAGTAATCTGAGTAATCATATTTCCATAACAGACGTAAAAAATGATAACTGCATTAGCCTGTGGGGTGCACTAAAGCGATTCAGACGATCGCATGCATTCAATTTGAACGACGTGCAGTTAGTAGCGATCTCTCGATTTCCATTCTGGAAAAGCCCTAAATCGAAACGACAAGTGGCGGCGATCGAAAGGGGGTTGGCGGAGGAAAGGTGCTGCTGCTATTTGTATGGAAAATCGTCGGCGCTAAAGTGGGGCCTGCATGCGCCACATAACAAGAGGTCTTTGGAGAAATCTCCAGCCATTTTTCTTTTCTCACTGAGAAAGAAAAAAAATACAAGAAAATAGTTTTCTCTAGAGTGAAAGAAGATCTATATTAGGAAAAAAAATTTAAATTATCTCTTTCCAGTAACTTTTTACTGCAGAAAAACACAGGTTGAAATCGATAGTTACAAATTTACACTCCACGTGCTTGAAACGTCATTTTTTTTCCTGCCAAAAGAATTTTAACCCAGAGGTCTTGTTGCTAAATCACCAAATTCGATCAAATGAGCTACACAGAACCAAAATACATTTCTTTTGGGTTAAATAAAGCTTTTGGCGGGAAAATTGAAACTATTATTTAACCCATTCTTCAAGCCTTAGGAGTCCAAATTTTTGAATAGCGCTTTTGATGCCAGTCATGAAATTTTGTGTAATTTTGAGTTTGAGGATAAACCCAATTACTGGAGAGGACCTTTAAAAGATCCACTTTTGGAACTTCAGTTAGATTGAGACAGATTAGAACTTTGGTTGCTCAAAGGTAAACTTTTTATCTCTCCAGCAGAGCGATAAAATCTGGTCAAAGTTTGGTTTAGGAAAGTGCAGAGAGCCGAAAGAGATGTTTTCGCCCTCGCACTCGATTTAACGCGCGACGCAATCAACTGAATTATCGCAATAAGGCGGCTAATGTCCGAAGGGAGCCAGTCGGCCAAAGGTATGCAAATTGCACATCCAACGGCCGCCGGGGCCGCGCCCTTCTCGACCTCATTTGCACATTGATGCACGGCGGAAGCACTAGGACGACGAACAACAACAGTCAGGACTGCGTTTACTATACTGCACTATGTCCTATATGCAGACATTCAAGGGCAGTGTCAGAAGGGAATTTAATTAGAATTATTTATTCATTTGTATGACTTGAAAGGTGAATGTTAGTAATTTAAATGAAAAGATATAATTTGCAAAGAATGTTTTTTAAAACTCCTAATTTT